AAAAAACAAACCATAGCTGGTAAGATTTTTTGTAAAAAAGTTCATTGTGTCTATAATTTCATTGTCATTTTTTTCAGATAAAAAAAAAAAAAAAAACAAAAAAAAAAAAATAACTCAAAACTCTATTGATAAACAGAGGGAGATAAAATAAATGGTTATGACGTAACATTTGTGAACTCTTATTTAAATAGATACAAGTTGGGACATTTGTTAGCAATGGAATAAGCAGATTTACATTGCAAGACCTTAGAGCCGGCAGTCAGACATAATTTTATACCGGGGAGTGTTTTGAAACAAAAATTAAGTGGTATATATTTTTTTAATTCTGGTAATGCAGCCGTCCTGAGGGATACAAGGGTTAATCTTAAATAAAAAAACCACTCTAGACATTCCAGACACTCCAGAAATTCCAGACATTCCTGACACTCCAGAAATTCCAGACTTTCCAGACACTCAAGATATTCCATACACCCCAGACACTCCAGACATTTCAGAAATTCCGGCAACTCCAGACACCAAACGTGAAAAAACAAATTTAAATAAAGAGAAATTGTAAAAAGGTATACATTTTAAGCTTTCAAAAAAAATATTTTCTTCTTTTTTAATTTTTTTTTTAAATTATAAAATTCCATCATGAAAAGATGATTCCTTCTCTTCCATAAAGAGATGATGAAGTCGTGTCCATTCTTCTACTCCAGTTAAAACAGTTGGACGTCTACCACACCGAGGAGTCGCCGCAAGCGGTTGGTCTCGACAATGTCTTTCGAACGTGTACATCTTTGGAGAAGCTCTTCTTGACAAAATGCTGCTTTATGCCCACCACCCTGGACTTGTTTGCAAGGAATTGCCGTAACATAACGCATTTGAATTTCCTCGTTCACAACGGTTAGATTTTCACTGACTGTTTGAATTGTGACTTACATTTGCACCAAACATGACTTAATCCACAAGTGTAACACCGTTTTTTGTTTGTTTTTTTGTTGTTTTTTTTTCATTGCTTATTTCAAATCCAACTCTTTGATTGAGCGAGCTTTACCTGGGCCTCGCACACTCCACCTGGGCCTCGCACACTCCACCTGGGCCTAGCACACTCCACCTGGGCCTAGCACACTCCACCTGGGCCTAGCCACCTGGGCCTAGGACACTCCACCTGGGCCTAGCACACTCCACCTTGGCCTAGCACGCTCCACCTGGGCCCAGCACGCTCCACCTGTGCCTAGCACACTCCACATGGGTCTAGCACAATGAACATTATTGGTTCACTCTGGCTGGGCTTTGATGGCTCCACCTGGGGATTTATTTTTTTAATTGTCACATTTTAAAATTTATTTTTTTAATTTGTCCGTTTTGTTAATATTTCTTCCTCAGGTGGGATTTCAGATGATGCTGTTATTCTAATGTCCAAAAATTTACCTCTCCTTGATCATATTAATTTGGGATTCGAATTAAGTAAGAATTTTTTTTTTATAGTTGCCTTTGAACTTGTTCACGTTTTACGTTTTTATTGATGATGAATCTCTGCCTTAGGCATAAAAAACAACAAAAACTACATCATAAAGAAAGCCTAATTATTTTTTGAACAAATAATATAGAAGAAAATTTTAAAAAAATGCTACATTTCAATTGTGATACTAGAAAACGTTCACCAACGAAGAGACGTGACACCAAAAGACCTTCCAAGATTGTGTAATTAAATAAAGTTCAACATTTTAAAAAGATAACATTTTTTAAAAAATCTTTTCATAATTATAATTTTTGTTCAAATATCTTCTCACCTCAGATGTTTCCGTGACCTTTTCCCCTAATGGTGACCTAGTTGACATAATTCTTAAATGTATTAAACGCTCAAATGAATTTCCCACCTTTCCTTACAGGACCTTCCATAAATGACGTCATGATTTTGACAGATTTCCCCCGCCCCACGATTTATAGCACATTTATAACAACACCCACCCCCACCCCCAACCCACCCCCCTCGCCCCTAGACATATTTTGTCGCTTAATTATATCCACCCACCACACCAAAGTTATATTTCTGTATTTATGTACACATTTTATACAACCATACGTAAAACGTTTCTTTCACCGTTTCTGTCTGGAGAGACATATGATGTGATTACATTTCTTTCCTATTAAAAAAAAAAATTGTCACCCGCTGCTGTAGTCGTTCCGTGCATGGCACGAGAAGACGCTAATTCCTCCGTCGTCGCTTCAGAATGACAACTGACTCTGAGAATAAAACTGTGTGCAGTATCAGGGCATGTGTGTTGACGTGACAGGGTGAGGAAAGACCATGCAAGCTCTTCCTCCTTGTGCGTGCCATTCGGAACACAATCAGGGTTGGTGTCGGATATATCTCCTCGAAGGCACTGCCCGTCCCCGGGGAAAGCCAAGTGCCCCCCCCCCACCCCGGAGCAAAAATATGTCCAAAAATTAATCACCTGGAACTGCAGGGACTGACGCCCCCTACCCGAAAAATCTGAAGTGCCCCCCCTCGGGGGAAATTTCTGAAATAATCACTGAACAAAAGGTGCCCTCATTTTCTTTGACTCTCTGCGCAATTGTTTTCGCCCAGAGGCTACCATCTTATTTGTTCTGGATACATTTCTCTTTTTTTTCGACATTTTGCCACCATCGTCACATACTTTTCTTATCATAAAAGTTCATTTCTCCAATATTCAGCAACGTAGATAAATACAACAAAAAACTTCTTCATTCTATTGGACGGACAGAGGCATTACTACGATTTTGATATCGATGCCTATTTATGCGGAGATTAATTTTGTAAAATTAAAATGATTATGATTTAATTGAACTTAGTAAGATTATTGCTTCCAGGATGAATCATGGGTGTGTTAAACATGTTAGAGACATATATATGCAATTTTCTTTCCAGTTCTAACAGATCCATCGATTCAAGCATTATTAACCAACTGTAAACGCCTCAGGAGGGTTGGATTAATTGGACTGCAGATCACTTCAGCACCTTTCCTTCAAATAATTACAGGTGGGATTTTGGTATAGTAGCACCATTTTGTAAAAAATTTAAAATACATAATAATAATTTATTAACCGTTCTAGGCAACTGAGTGAGTAGCTGACTTTTAGTTTACAGTTGCTTTATAGCCAAGAGGTGCTGATCTAGGCACCTGAGTGAATAGCTGACTTCTAGTTTACAGTTGCTTTATAGCCAAGAGGTGCTGATCTAGGCAACTGAGTGAGTAGCTGACTTCTAGTTTACAGTTGCTTTATAGCCAAGAGGTGCTGATCTAGGCAACTGAGTGAGTAGCTGACT